TATCAACTTAAAAGAGTAGATAACTTTTATAGTTTTTGTTTGTATCTATTATTTTTTATCTTATTTTAAATATTACACTGAAATTCTGTTTATATTACTACAATTTATTACTAGATTACTTATTTTGATGTATAATATTTAATATTTATTTTTATTATTGTTATTATATTTTTTAATTTATATTTCTAGTAACTTTAACCATTTTTTATTCTCTTTTATTCTGATTTTATGGTTTTCTTTAAAATTTTTGTTTTTGTTATAGTTTACTGTTTGTTTGGCTGTTGCGTTATTCTTTAACTACCATTAGTATTATTTACTAGCAAAAAGCAACCCGTAATACGGGTTATGGTCGGTCTGTTATATAAATAATTTATAGTGGCTGTTTTCCACAATTTAATGTTGCAAAACCTTAACTAATACACTTTTAGAAAAACGTTTTCAACTTGAATTAATCCATCTGTAAAATTCAAATGATAGTATGAGGAAGTAAAACATTTTGCCAATAGGTAAAATAATTTAACAACTACAACTTAACATTTACGATTACTACTTAACATTATTTGAGTAATTTACAACTGACATAAGTCATTACAGTGTGAGGCAGAACCATTTTTCTCGACATTCCTAAGTTCAACACAATACGTTTTTAGTTACTGACACAAAATAATAACACTTCATCATGCTTTAAATTGACGAAAGTGTCAACTAAATCTTTGTAAATAATTTTTATAACATGAGCTTTAATTATTTATTAGGATTAAGATGAAGTTAACTTATATTATACAGGAACTACTAAGCAGCTGAGTAAAAATACGATTCAAACAAAAAAAATTTAATTTAAAATCAAACACGTGTATAACAAATTTAAAAAAATATGAAAACTTTGATCTTTTATATTGCATTAATGCGTCATATGGCGAACCTAAAATAAAAATTGTAACATATATGTAGACATAAAAATTTGTAAACCAAGATCAGGTGACCCGGGTCTTGTTAAGTCTGCTCAACACAAACCGTTTCTATATTATTTGTTTGGTCTCTTTATTTCATTAATTTTTAGTAAACGGTAATTTACTACCATTTACTAAAAATCCTTTTTGTTTCTCAAAATTTAATTTTCCTAAATAATTTGACGCTAATAAAGAGGATTCTCCCCTCTTCTTGCTTTAATGGTGGCCTGGTAAGTAGAGATTTTTTTGTTAAGAGTTTTTGAGGAAGACCTTTAACGAAAATAATAAAACGTAAAACAATTATTTGCATATGAATCAATGTTTACAAAAACGTTCTCAGTCAATTTTTTTTTATATTTGACTTTTTGATAAATAATTGTTCTTTGAAGACAGTTCCACCATTGTATAGTAAAACATTCCAAGTCAGACCTTTCCGTTGAATAGAGAGCTGAAAAACACGTTGAATAGAGAGCTGAAAAAATTCTTTTGAATTTATTAAAGTAATAATTTTGGATTTATACGTTTTTTCTCGTTTCCCGAAAATTTAGTTTTTGTGACTTAGAATGTTTTTGTATACATCGATTCAAATATAAAAATGTTTTCTTTCCTCAAAAGTGTTGCGAATGCAGACTTAGCTAACTAATTAAATAAACATGTAAATATAACATAAGTAAATCGATATTTAATAAATGCGCAAAACTACAGCATTCTCCATGCATTTAAAAGTTTTTAGTTACGACACCGCGTTTACAAAGATCCCCTAAGATACCTACAACAAATTAGTAGGCATAAAATATAAAATAAATTGAACTAATTGCATATATTTATATCTATTTAACTAACAAAGTTAACAATAAAAGGAAATCAGGTTATTTTTTTATAAATCTTTTAAATGCGTCATAACGTAAATCTAAAATAATAAGTACATAAAACACCACATAAAAATTAAAAATCAATTTACCTATTTATAGTTACTTATTTTGAAATTGCAGTTAATTCAAACATTTATCGAAAATGTAACCAAAAATCTGTTTTGAAGTACAAAAGGATTAACAATACTAAAAAAAAAATTAAACTAAGATATAAATTGCACTTTTTAGCAAAATGTTGTCTTGGTTTTTAGCAAATAAATAAAAGCAGTAAGTTCCAATTATAAAACTACCTGTTATTCATTTTTAACAATAGACGCCAACGGGAAGGTAAGCCAAGCTGTCTATAAACACAAACATTACAACAATAACATTAAAACAATAACACATAGTAATAAAATCCAGTGAAAATAACAAACTAAGTTAAACTATGAAAAGCAAAATTAAAAAACCAATTTAGAGTAAACTATATTTATCTTTTTACTAAACTTTAATAAAGTGTATTTGTTTTTATATTCAACATTAGTTATTCAATTATTTCAAATTTAGGACATTAAAGCACGCTAGATTTAAAGATTAAGGTAGCATACTCTCTCATACACATTACGCTGAGCATTAACAGACAATATTATGTGTTTCCAGAATAATTTAAATAGGTTAGACAACACAACCTAGCTCTATAGCAGTAACACTGCCTGGCAATAAATGCTGCCAAGTCTCACCTTTCCTATAAGTACACTGCTTGGCTAGCAAGGTTATCAAACTAGATCAACATAATACCAAGTCAAACCA